CCCCTGGGGCTTGCCCGCCCGCCAGTGCGTCCATCCCCATGCTCTCCACGATTTGACCACACGCACGCACGCGTCCATGCCCGATGAGGGTCACACACAAAAGGCGGGAGCGGGTGTGCCATTTTCCTGGCTGCACTGCAAAATTGCGGAGCACTTGCGCCTCACATCCCGACTGGACAGACCGACACGGCCACATCAAGCGTCATGTCGGGCGTCAATTGGGGCTTGCGCCCTCAAGACCGGGCCTCGTCAAAAAGCAGAAAATGATCTGCCACGTGTGGCCGCCAGTTCATGTATGGTGTGCTGTGCGTTGTGCAGTCTGTGCTGCAACACACCACGAGCTGGGCTTCGGAGCTTGCCCACTTGTGCAGCCCATCCCCGCGGAGTCCCCAGAAATCCAAGAATCAAGACAGGACCCTTTCCACTTGCTTGGTTCTGATGATGAAACAGTTGCCAAAACAAGGATTCCAACGGCGCCGACTGGTTTATCAGGGTCCGATGATTGTCCGGAGCAAACCACCGGCATGAGTATCAACACAGCTTGAAGCAGCGAAATGTTTTTTTGTGCATTTTCATTTTTATCTTATTTTATCATTGCTAACAGAAAGACATAGGCAAAACATTGCTACCGCTGCACAACAGCTCCAAAAACCGCACAGCCCCAGCAGGCATCTAGTTTCCATCAAAAAAAAAAATCGGGTCAATTTGACGACATTGCGACTCCGCACACCCGATATCGGAGACACATTTCCATTGCTGTGGTTCGATGCTGCGCTACGACCCCATGGGGAAGCGTGGAATCGGTGCTTGAAAAAGCTGAAGGATTTGAATCTCAAGTGGCTTCAATCCTGTCGTTCTCATCCTCATTGCGCGGTTGACAAGTTGGAAAGTCTGGGATCGGCAGTGGCTTCAGGGCGCACTGGGAGATCCGTTATTCGGCTGCCAAGGCAACCAACCACAGCGTGTCGAACTCTCAAATTCAGCCCAGTGGAGCACCTGGCCTCAAGTCCAGAGCTCTTTCCACGTTCAATGAACTTTGAAAAGCTGTTGAAGAGACATGCAAAAGAGTGACCACATTCAGAAATCAGGTTTCTGCCCCGTGTTGTGTACAGACTGGGAAGTACTTCACAGGGCCACTTTTCCAGAACCCCCCCCCCCTCTCTTCGAAGCCACTTCAGGTGTCGGGTCCGGAACACGCCCCAGATCTGGGGGCAGAGATCCCCGGATCCTCAGATCTGACCCCACGAAAAGAGGGCCGGATGGAGACGATACATACGAGCAAGCATCACCTGACGTCTTCTTTCCTCTGCCTTGCCTTGCTTTTCCCTTCCTCTCCGTCCCGTTCTTTTCCTCTCCGTCCCGCGATTTATGCTCATTTCAGCCCCACGGAGAGGAAGGAGCACGGATGCAGGAGACGGGAAAGTGTCTCAACAAGGGCAATTCAAAGCCGGGTTTGACCAAGTGGTTGTTCCCAATCGGATCCGCTGCATCATATTGCCCCTCTTTACTTGGGCGTTTCCGTGATGAAGGTGGAAAGCTCCCGTTTTACCCGGTCCGCAATGACTCTGCCACGTCCACGCCGCTCTTGCTGCAGGAGATGGTGCTTATCTGTCGGTCACCTTTGGAAGCTTTCGTGAGAGACCAGAGCACAAGATCAAGAGGCGTGATAGGCTCAAGGTATGGTGGTTTCCACTAGCAACCCCATTTTCCATGTTCGGATCGGACCGTCGACGACGTCTGCATGTTTTGATCTTTGTCGATCCGGATTTTCACGTGGCGTCATGACCCCTGGGTAAAGCTATGTATGGACTGTTACACGAGAGCAGTCCCAACATGCCCTGATTTCACATCTGACACTAGATGTGAGTCTATTAACTTTTGCACACATGGTTGAGAATTGTTGCTGGGTGGATACTACGTCAATCACAGGCTGAGCCCGCAAGCCTGAGATGAAGCCAGCCCTCATCCCTATATTTAGAGCTTAGGGCCATTGCTGTCTCGAGCCCACGTGTACCCTCTGATGTATACTACAAGAGTAGCCAGGGTACTTTAGGGCATGACGGTATGGTATAAATCATACATAACGTATGACTGTGCGTTTGGAACGGGTGGGAGGATGGCGCTGAAGGTGCCTTGAAACACTTCAATTTTCGTGTCTGTTCAAGTGCTTTGTTTATTTCCTTTGGTGTTGCCCGGCAGATCGAGATTTGATCAAGCAGAATATTCAACAGTCTCTTGATAAAGAACTAACTGCCATGGGTCGGTCTTGTTGGTCATTCTCTTCGCGACCACTGTGTTAGGCTTTAAGGTTATAGTTCGACAATCGTTATTCTCTCGTCTAACATGATTCTTTAATGTGTTGAAACTCCGGGGAACAAGTCAAGCAGCCTCCTCAATAAGCTAAACCTAACCACATCTATATTGATCCGTCGGATTTCCTATCACCGTGTTCATCTAGGAAATGACTCGAAATCCTGCTCGACTTTTCCTATGTGAGATGGTGAGTACTGACAGAGCTGGCAATGAAGGCAATGGAGTCACAGTGAATCCTCAACTTGAACTTGAACTTGAACTTGAACTTGAACTTGAACCTGAACTTGAGGTGAATGAGTAGGCCAAATCACAGACCTGACTGAATTGACTTGAACTTACACCAGTGATGGAATTTTCTGGATGTCGTGCTATCACAGCTTGATCAGGGATGGATACAATATACAATCGATGATTGTACTACCGATAACTAACATGGACTGAAGACAAGAAGTTCAAGAAAAAAGTAAATCTCAAAAGGGAAGGCTCGATAGGAGGGTTGAATTTATACTCTAATTCTAGAAAGGAACGAGAGTTCAATCCCAGAACACAAACCATCTCAAGTATATCCGTAGATAGAAGCCACCCACAAAAGTTACCTCGTGCATGAGCCCATAACGGCACGGCTGATGCTAGCCGTCGAACCTGCTACTAGATTGGTACCTCGGTAGCTCGGGAATGACACGTTGACGAGTTGACGTTGTCACAATGAAGGACCGACAACAATAGGAAGAGGAAAGAGGTTCATGTGCCATCAGTATGCTTCTGAACCGGAAAGTTACCCGGTGCCTGGTAGCATAACCATGACTGAATCAGAATTACCAAATACCTCTAGATAACTTCAGGAATGACCCTGGAGATCAATTATCTACAAGTGAACAAACGTTCACCACCACGTTCACGAAAAATACAGATAAAGTCTATTCAAGTTTTAGGTCAACTTATCTAAGTTGTAATGATATATGATAGGAAAAGAAACAACTTGAAGTGACAGCAAGACAATCCAAGAACAGCGAACTAGCTTCAAGTTATTGAATGAGCCTTTTCAGGATGGGAGAATACTTTGAGTATAGTTCAGGATTCAGTTCTTGAAGTTGTCTAACCTTTATAGATATATTTGATGGGTTACCCTATTCATTCATGATGGATGCTCAGCTAAGGTTCCTAAATGATAGTTCTAGTCTACTAAATGAAACCTGGAAAACCAGCATCTGGCAGACCATATCAAAGTGCCAGACAATCACTAACATGTCACTAAAAGAAATTAGTATATCATTCGCTCTGCTTTTGATGTACGACCTTGTGGTTAGTTTTGCCGAGTTTACACATTTTCATTCAAGATAAAGCTTTTATTCCATGCACAGATACACATATAATGTGCGAGCGTTTTACATATAATGAAGAGCACACCTCCCCACCA